AGGACGCCCAAGTGAAGGCAAAGACCGGAGCTCTCCGAAGAGATCAGCAAAGCACCTCCTCCGAGAAAATCAGCTGAAATCCTTCCCTCCCATTCCGTTTTACACCATCCCAACAGCAATCCTCCCGAAAGTGGGTCCCACAACCATGCTGACTCAATTCACCAGGCATCCCCACTCCAGCTGACAATCAATTCACCACCACAAGCCACAAAACAGAAGCCCCCTGGGCTGGGATGAGGAGTGTCCCTCCTCAAAGCATGTGCCCACCTAAAACCTGTGAAGGGGACCTTATTTGGAAATATAATCTTTGCAGATGTAACCAAGTTAAAAGTAGGGTTCACAGGAGGACAGCGCGCCTTAAGCCAACATACTGGTATCTTTACAAGAAAAGTTAGACACAGAGACAAACACACATGGTAAAAGTGTGTGTTGTCTTAGTCACTTTCCTCATCACTGGGACACAATACCTAACACCCACAGCCTAAAGGAGAAGAGGTTTATTCTGGCTCATGGTTTTAGAAGACTCAGTCCATGGTCAGCTGGCTCCAAGGCAGGAAGGCATGGTGGAAGGGTCTGGCAGAAGAAAGCTGCTCACAGCACGGTGGCCAGGAAAAAGAGAGAAGGGAGGGAGAGAAACACGTTCAGGTCACATGCCCTGTGGCCATTTCTTTCACCTCTTCCAGTCAGCCCCACCTCCTAACAGCACATTCAGCTATGGACTCATCTGTGGATTTACCTACTGGCAGAAATGGACCTGTAACCCCAAACGGATACTAACAGAGCTTTCCCACTCACTTTTAGGTAGGTACAGGCCAGCAAAACCGCAGGGTGGCCCCTCACACACGGTACCAGCTGAGGTCAAGACAGGCGATGATCTGTCTGCTTGTGTGCGCTCTCCTACTGGGGACAAGGGCCCTTGTAGAGTCTGAGTGCTGTGTTTTTTGCAGTTCTGTGCTTCTTGATGGTGATCTGGCTCCTTGAAAAGCCCCCAGGCTTAGAGCTGAAGCACAAAGCCTCTCTAGACTGAAGAAGAAGAAGGTTGCGTTGGTGATGCTTCACTGTCAACTCATCTGGATGAAGACACTCTTGGCATGGTGGTTGGATCGTGGGGACACTGTAGTCGTCACTGGATGAATCCACTGAAATTTATAGCTGATTGGGCTGCCAGGAGGTGGCGCCCAGTTCGCAATGTTCCTGTCTTGGAGCCAGCCTGCCATGGACGGAAACTGGGCCAAAATCTGTCCTCCTTAAGTTCTGGATCCTTGGTATCCCCAGAGAACCGGTACCTGAGTGCCCTGCAGATACCAACACCCCAGGGTGCCCAAGTCCCTGTTGTTAAATGACACCAAATTTCCATCATTTCTCCCATACAGTGTGCAGCCTCTCTGGATGACCTCGGCTGCCTAAGACAGCGAGAATGCCATGCAAGTCACGGTGACACTAAACTGTACAGGAAAAATGACAAGGGGTCTGCGTGTGTTCGGTACCAACTGAAGCTTTTGGTCCTGAATATTTTTAATCCAAGGTTGGTTGAATCCACAGATGAAGAAACTACAGATACAGAGAAATTATGTACTAAATTAATTGTCCTTCAATAGAAATGCATATAAAACAAAGTTATGTATTGACTGAGAAAAATTTTATGGACAGTCACTCAAAAAAACCTGGCCTGTGCTGAGCGCAGTGGTGCACACTGTCATCCCAGCACTCTGGGAGGCTGAGGCAGGAGGGTTGCAAGTTGGCACTTCGGCAAAGCAACTTAGCAAGATTCTGCCTCAAATTTAAAAAAAATTAAAGTGTTTTAAAGCTGGGGGTGTAGCTGAGAGTGAAGGTTACGGTACCAAAAGAGAGAGAGAGAGAGAAACTTTACCCTGTATTCCTCCTAGAAGCAGTGGCTCAGTGGCCCCTAAGTCAGAGTTCACTGGGACTTTATAGAACAGAACTCCCAAGAAGAACAAGGTTTATCCATAGGCATAACTCATCACCTCTGCATCTTCTTCCCTTGCTGTAGGAGGGAGGAGGATATTTTGTTCTATTCTGCTTCTTGAGCAAAGAGTACAGTAGGTGCCCAATAAATGTTTGTTGAACATTAACTAATTAGCACAAAATCATACATAATACAGCTAACATTACACTTAACTAATTAATATAGAAAGTGTTTTCCTGGGGCTGTCGAGCTAAAGGTCATCTGAGGACCAGGAGTCGGCTGCTGTGGAGAAGCCAGAGACACTGAACACCTGGAATGACACTGGAGCCCACTGGGATGGGATGGGCCACCTGTGGGCCCCTGAGAACCTGGGCCTCGGGATGGACCTAGAGATTTCCTCCCTAACGCCAGACTGACCTCAGACGTGTAATCCTCCTGCCTCAGCCTCCCAAGTAGCTGGAATTACAGGTGTGCCCCAGCACACCTGGCTGTTTGAGGGGCTTTTGTTTTGTTTACTGTTTTGCCTCACCCCTGGAGCAGGCACCATTTGTCTTCATATTGAAAGGGACACCAAGCCACACGGCCGGGGGGTGGGGGGGGACTGTCTGGCAAACTGACAACAACCACTAGGGAAGGGACCAGCCCAGAGCACTCGATGGAGCATCGCGGGGAGCAGCTGGGATGCTCTCCCACCCGGGGAGAGGGACGTCAGCCTCAAAGCTTCCTTTCCTCAGGATGCTCAGATCGTTGGCCCCTCGCATGTTGGAGGTTCTTTTCTGGTTCTCAGCCCTTCTTAGCTGAGCACACAAGCAAGTTACTCAGCGCCTCTGCCCCTCGGTTTCTTCATGTGAGAAATGGGTGCCGACCTCCTAGGGCTTTTGTGAAGTTCAAACAGGCCTCGAAGCCAGGACTCCATCATTAGATACCATCATTAGATATCATGGCTTCCCCTGTTTCCCAATCTCCTTCGGTCTCAAGGCAAAAATGGAGTTTCGCGGCGCCCCCTCGTGGTGGCAATGGAGTACTGCAGCCCCAGGAGCACTAACCCTAAAAGTTCTCTCTCCCTCCCTCGCAGTACCCTCGCTTCTACTGTACCATCCTAACTCTCAAGCCACAGTGTCCAGGTGACCACTCAGTCTCTGCCAGCTTTCCATGTATTCAGCATTGAGGCCCAACTGTGTGTCAGACCCTTCCCAGGGATTTGGCTGTGGACCCCATAGATGACACCTCTTCCCTCACAGAGCGACATTCTGGTGGAGGAGACAAGATTAACAAAAATAAAAAGGAATTACATCAACCAGTGACTCCTGCTAAGAGGAAAATGAATTAGGAATGAGGGAGGCAATTTGGGAGGTGTAAGACTGAAGCGCAAGGTCAGGGTGGGCCTTGCTGTGCATTCCAGAAAGAGAGAGCAGCAGCAGCAAAGGCCCTGGGGCAGGATGTGACTTCCACGGGATGGAGATTTGTTCCTGGCCAATGTCTCCAGCACCCAGATTGGCATCTGGCACAAAACAGTGCTCAATAAAGACTATCTGGGTGGGACGGAAGCCCCAATGTGGGTTTCAGAAACAGCTTGCTCAGGGCTCCAGTGATGGCTCTAGGTCCATTATTCTTTTACTTGGTAACTTCATGATTACAAACACGTGCACACCCACCCACCCACACACACACACACACAGAGAGAGACATCTAAGACAGAGACTCAGCTTCAGATCCATGCAGCTACTTGGCAGACTGAGGCAGAAAGGCTGCTTGGACCCAGGAGGCCAGGGCCAGCTCGGGCAACGTAGCAAGAGTCATCCTTTCCTCCTCCATCTTCAGCTCTAGGTCTGGTACTGGAGATTGAATCCAGGGCCTTCAAACTGAGCTACATACTCAGTCTTTTGTTTGTTTGTTTTTTGAGACAAGGTCTGACTAAGTCACTAGATTGCCCAGCCTGGGCTCAAACTTTCAATCCTCCTGCCTCAGCCTCCAAGACTGAGATTATAGGCCTGGCTGAGACCCCCATCTCTTAAAAAAAAAATCCCCCTCAAGACACAAAAGTGTGTCTCCCAGGATTCCCTGCAAAAGCCCCCAACACAGTGCATAACTGAGGGGAGGAACAAAGCCAAGGATCCCCCGCCCCTCTGAGCTCTCTGGAGGCCAGGCCTGGAATTGTGAACTGGGGGGGGGGGGGTCGCTCCCTTGTCTCCCCCAGAGGAAGCTGACCACCTAGGGCCCAAATCCCAACCCATCTACCCATGGGTGCTCAACACCCAAACAGCCGCCCCGCCCTCTGGCCTCAGTTTCCCCACCTGTGAAATGGGTCCAGCCAGGCCCACCTCACAGTGAAGGAGTTAAACCCTTGAACCCAGACACAGCCCCAGGGCAGTCCAAACCCTAGGGGCATTCGGGCCCATTTGGGGTGTGTCTGCCCGGCCCCAGGCACCGTGCCTGGCACACGGGAGGTGCCCAAGACGCGCTCTTCCAAACCGGGACCAGGCCGAAATAAATAACGTCTGTCGTCATCGTCAGTGACCCGACGCCATGGGCCAGGGAGTGGGCGCTCCCCTCCCCCACTGGGCTCCCATCCCCCTCCCGCGCCCCCACCCGGCCAGAGCGCCTTCCCCTCGCGCCCCCCACCCCATTCTGCCTGTGCTCCGTGTGCTCCGCGCTTCCCACGCAGAGTCGCCCC